GGAGAAATTGTGCATGCATTGCATTTGTATAACAGTTGAGGAACATTGTGCTCAGGGAACTGAATTTTGTGTGTAGGAACTGTAAGCAAATTTTCCTTTACCCCAAGGGAGACGTTTGAATAACCAAGCATAATTAAATATGTCCTTTGCTCCAGAGAAAGAGAAGTCTTTCACATGAGTCACTATGCAAACATCCTCGGAAGGATTGTCCAGAACGAAAGGCCATTTAGTATCACTGCTCACAAGACACAGATAGAGGAAAGAGATTCACTGTGAATTCTCTCTCAACTAAGGGTTGAACCTGTTTGTTTTCACTTCAGCATGTGGGACTGGGGTATGTTCATTTCTAAGCCCATGTTGTACCCAGGGTCTAGTCCTGGTTTTGCACTCCGGGATTGCTCCTGGAAGGTCTCAGGGAACCGATTCAGTGACAGGGATTGAACCCAGGATGACTGCATGCCTATCCACTATAATATCTCTCTGGCCCTAAAAAACTGATTACTATCTTGATTACTTAACCCTGATAACTAATAATTTTGCAAATCACGGTACCTACATACAAATGTATAAACAAAACTACTACCGTGGAATGTGCACACTTGATCGTCTATGTGTGAAGAGAGCACTCTATTAAAAGAAATGGCTGAAATCGCACAATTTCTGTCCTTGAGTCTTTCAGCTTGGGGTTCATTAGAGTAAGCACTATTTATTTCCCTCTGCAAAGCATCCTTATTTCTATGGTTCTCACCTTTTGACAGTCACAAGGATTCTTGCCAGTTCATCTACTTGAAAGTTACTCCCTAGTTAATTTTGTGTATTCCATTTACTTGGTATGGTCTGCATCCTAAAAATTCCTTAAAAGTGTGCTGAAATCCGTTTAAACTTGTATTATCACATAGTAATGAGAAACTAGCAAATTAATTTTACTGCTATTTATTTCCTCCTAAGAGCATTTCCAGAAACATTCTATTTGCGAAGCCATATTTCAAGTACATTATGAACTATATTAAAAATGTCCTTACTTTAATTAAAGTATCAACTTCTATTATTTAAATTGTTCTTTTTTTAAGAGTTCTTTTTTAAAAAACTGTATATCTCAGTGTGATGCTGTGAGAATTTTTAATGATGACTTCTGTAATGCTTGTCAGAGTTAATGACCTCCAAGATTAATCTGAAAGTCAGTATGATGACATGAAAACAATCTTTTCTTTAAAAGTTTGGTTTAGCACAAATTGGGAAGGCTGCTGCCTGAGAGGGAAAATACACATCAGAAATAATTTAAGGTGAAAAATTTAAGTTAAGGTACTAAAAAAAATGGAGGGCCAATGAAATAGCTCTACAGATTGACACATGCACCTTTACAGCACTGAGTTTCATCTCCAGCACCACTGGGTGGACTAAAGTGACTCCAGCAGCATCATATCACCTGGACAAAGCCTGAACAGTTTAACCAACTCTCACCAAGAGTGGCCCCTGGGATCCCTGAGCATAGCCAGGGTAGTTCCCCCAAATAAAAGTGAACTCTCCCTCCTAATCTAATTAGTATCTACGGGGCACATTTACCTTGATGGATGAGAGTGCTCTTTAGAAAAATTGACCATGATTATGTTTGCTTTTTTCTTTTTTACTCGATTAAAATGTATAGTGGGTAAGCGAATCTCCAGAAGAGGCTATTATTAAATATCTGAAAAGAAGCATTAAAGATGGTACTTGGCTGATTTCTTTCTTAAATTAGACCAAACAGGAAAATGTTTGGACATAGGTTCAAATTAAGGCAAGCACAGGGCTCTGTTATCAGGAGTTGGGTATTCACATTGTGATTTCTTTGTACAAAATAGCTCATAACCAGACAGGATTTTGGAGGAAGTGGGATTAAAGCAAGAGAAATTAGTTGTATGATTTGAATGATTAATTTAAATTAATGCCATGAAAATTTGCCAGTTTACCACCCAACATGAGGCATCTACTACAGGCTAAAAACTGGCTAGTTTCCATTTATTTATTTATTTATTTGCTTTTGGGTCACACCCAGCGATGCACAAGGATTACTCCTGGCGGTGCTCTGGGGACCATATGGAATGCTGGGAATCAAACCCGGGTCGCATGCAAGGCAAACGCCCTACCTGCTGTGCTATCACTTCAGACCCCAGGTTGTTTCCTTTTGGAGCTTGACTGATGCTCTGACTGTTGCCCTGGCCTATATCTGGAAAGCTCCCATCAGCAACTCACTTCTTGCTACTCCTTTACCTGTGCCCAGGCTCACCGTGTATCTCCAGAGGATTATTTTATAACATTAGATTTCATCCTATTAAAATACAATACTAACTTCTGAAAGAATCATCTGATTTCCTTGATAAAATTTAACTTCCTGTGACTGCCTTCACCTTTCACTTACAAATCAGTTCAATCAGTCCAGCTATAGATGATTAAAATATCCACTGAGTGGTCAATCTTGTGAATTAAAATCTCGGAAGGCAGTTTCATTTCTCTGACATCCTTGTTTGATTTCCCATCTTCTCTTACACGTTCATATGCTATCTCATGGGGTTACTACCCTTTTTTTTATTTCCCTCACAGGACAGACCCCTGGGATATTAGATGACCTACATTTGCACTCAAGCAGTTTTCTATCTCCCAACCACTTGACTAGTTACTACTGGATACACTTTTACAGATTATTCACATAGAGGATATTTTAAATCTGACATTTTAAATATAAAACATTTAATTGAAGAATCCTGTAATGACAACATTATTTACTCACTGAATTACCAAGTGATTTTCCAATTTAATCATAAAGCAGAAGAGATAGAAGGGATGAAAAAGAATGGTTATGTTCTTTATTTGAGGAAACTATAGTTGACAGTAATGCATTAAAAAAACATTGAAAATCTTTTCTGAAGAGTCTCCCTTACTTATAACTTTGTTGTTTCCTATTCATGCAAATGTTGGTGCTCTCTGATACCCACTGCCTCTAGGACTTTTGAGGTGAAGAAAAGTCCTGGATTAGTTCTAGAGATTCACTGACCAGGAAAGTTTCTGAGGGATTAACTCTTGGTCTGTAGAAGCAGTTCAGTTCTGAGTTACTTTAGCAAAGTTCCAGCTTGGTATACAATACATGTGGGGATTTTGAAAAGTTGTAAAGGGTCAAGATCCCATTCCTTCATAGTTCCTGGGATTTTGAGGTCGCCTACTCTTCTGGATATCATATCCAAACCCTAAATCAGTCTTTGAGTTAATATGGGTTTCCTTCCACTATGCAATAGGAGAATGTCCCTTTTTGGTATGATTTGGTATGGTTCCGGAAATGCTCATATGTGGGGTTTTTTTTTCTTTGCTATTTGGGTCATACCTAGCAATGCACAGGGAACTACTCCTGGCCCTGCACTCAGGAATTACCCATGTCGGTGCTCAGGGGACAATATGGGATGCTGGGAATCAAACCCGGGTCAGCCGCGTGCAAGGCAAATGCCCTACCCGCTGTGCTATCACTCCAGTCCCCCCAATAACTCATATGGAATTTTTAAAACATTTTCTCAAGCCACAAAAAAACTACTAATTTTATCAAATATGCAGATCTACTTTAATAAGTGGGGGAAACTTATATCTAGTTAGATTGAAATCCTGGGTAGAATCAACCAAAACCAAACCAATGGATAGAACTGCATGAGATAGTACTTCCCAGATTTTATCATTGCGGTTAAGGGAATGTTCATGTAACAAATCAAGGAAAGACTATGTTCCAGACTTCTATGAAGGACAGGATCTTATGTGTTCCTAGTGTTTACAAAGAGACAGCTTCTAAATAACTATTTTGTGGCATCTAGTTTATATCTAAAATGATGCACTATCTGGGCTGGAGAGATAGCACAGCAGGTAGGGCGTTTGCCTTGCACGCGGCAGACCCGGGTTCGATTCCCAGCATCCCATATGGTCCCCTGAGCACCGCCAGGAGTAACTCCTGAGTGCAGAGCCAGGAGTAACTCCTGAGTGCAGAGCCAGGAGTAACCCCTGTGCACTGCCAGGTGTGACCCAAAAAGCAAGAAAAAAAAACCTGATCCACTATCATGTACACTATGAGTTCTAAACATCATCTTGTGAATAAAGTATTACCTGATACATTTATTTGAAGTTCCCATGTTGTCCTCTGAATCAATCTCTCTGAATTTCTTAAGTTTCTTCATATAATTATGTATTTATTCCTAAATTAGATCTAGCATTGTTGCAAATTATTTTTTATATATACATATGCTATAATCCCGCAACTCATGTTTTTCATTCAACAGTACATGATAAGTGGTATGTCATCCATATGGTAAGGATGATTCACATTGCATTGGTTCATATTTGTTTTCCCAGCAGTGTTTGTTTTGCAGTCTTCTTAATGGGGACATGGGAGGGCCAGAGAAGCAGGGCACCTCTTAAAGGATTTTCCTGGTTATGGATAGGCAAACCAGGTACTCAGTGTCCTGAAGTGGCGGCCCATTTTACTTATGGATGAGATGCAAGGGTATTAATGGGATCTGGTGGTACAGGAAGCTAATTATATTGGAGGAAATTAAGTTGTGTGAAGAACCTGGGATCAACTGCATATGAATGATATTTCATGGAAATAAGCACACAGTATCCAGTAGATGCATATTTACTGATTTATAATTTTTTTTAGTTAGCTATTTTAACAATTCAACAGTCTCACAAATGCTACAAGGAAATTGGAATGCTAATTTTGCCTTCATTTTTTTTTCTGACTTTTCAGTGTTCACTGGATTCTATCCCCGTGGATCTGATTCCTGCTGACCAGCTTTTGAAGTTTTGACATTGAACATCATTAATGAAACTCAACTATCAACTGAATGGACATTATAAGAAATGCTTTAACAGAAAAGCTCCTTTTCTGTTAAAACAATAATAAATTTCTTGGAATTTAATCCTAGTGGAGATTGTTTTTGTTGCAGCCTGAAAGAATTCCTTACTACAATAAACAATTCTTCACAGATTTTCTGAATACCACCCATTATCAAATAACTGGACCACTGGGTTGTTCAGAAGGACCTCAAGAATTGTGACAATCAAGTCATCTGGAATATCCAACCACTGTTATTTAGAGAGCTCCTACAGAAATACCATGTCTAAGAACCCAGAGTTCATCAATCTGTCATATTTATTAGATCATGAGAAGGAAAAGATCCTGGGAGTCCTAAAGAGAGATGAATATTTGAAAAGAGTGGAAGAGAGGAGAATAAGGTAATATTCTTTTATCTTTTCTGCCATCTTTGACTGCCTTTTATTTGAAGCAATTTAGATCAGAAGTGGGGCAGCTGCAAACGCTTTGGATACTAATGCTCATCAGTTACTTCATGAATTCCTTTGTAGTAATATAAATATTAGAAATGTTCTTTGGTACGTTTTTATCTAGACAGATAGAAATTGAACTTGAGCTATGAATATGGTGTTGATGAGAATGTTCATTTGCTAAAGCATCAAAAATAGTGGTGTGGGGCTGAGTGATAGTACTGTGGATATGGTGCTCTCCTTCTATATGGTCAATTCGATTTTGATCCCTGGCACCCCTTATGGTTTCCTGAGTTCACCAGGAATGATCCCTGAGCACAGTTGGGTGGAGCCCGAAGATGATAAAACAAAAGCACAAAAAACTGTGGCCAGAGTGATAGTACAGTGGGTAGGGCATTTACCTTGCAAGCAGCAGACCTGGTTGAATTCCCAACTTCCCAAAAAGTCCCCCCAGCACTCCCAGGAGTAATTCCTGAGAGTAGAGTAAGAAACAATCCATGAGCATTAATGAGTGTGACCCCCCCCCAAAAAATAAAAAAAAAGTCCCCAAAAAACCCAGCACAAAAGCCTCAGGGAAAAAGACTATCTTTGTTTAAGTACAGCTTAGAATTTATTAGTGTATGACCAATTTTCTCAACTTCTCCATGGCTTAATTTCTTCACAAACTGTAGAACACTGTCTTCCAGTTGTTCATCGATTTGCTGAAGCAGACCCAGTAATGTCTCCATTGTGAGACTTGTTACTGTGTTTGGCATATCCAATACGTCACGAGTAGCTTTCCAGGCTTTGCCGTGCGGGCAAGATACTCTTGGTAGCTTGCCGGGCTCTCTGAGAGGGGCGAAGGAATCAAACCCGCGTGAGCCGGGTCAGCCGCTTGCAAGGCAAACACCCTACTCACTGTGCTATTGCTCCCATATCCTGGACTTTCAACCCATATTTCAGCTTTTGTGGGCTCTTCCAAGTAAACCTAAAATTCTCATTTTTTATCATTTATATTCAAAGCCTAACTAAAATTTATTGTAGTTGGTTACATTTAATGACTTTTGGCCATCTTTCTTTAGTGAAAAAACTGGTGTCTTTGCTGCGATGGGCAGCAGAATGGCTACAACTCAGGGGTAAGGTGTTGAAGGAGAGAGGTCAGAGGCAGTGGGGTTCAGACTGCATGATTCCATGGAATGAAGTTTAAGAAAGGAAAACTAATAGAAGTCAAATTAAGAGTTGTCAGGAGTGAGGAGAGGCATATAGGAGCCCTCTGAAGTGTTGCAAATGCCAGATAACTCTATCTGCATGGTTGCTGCATGCATGCATGCCGTTAAAAACTCATCGAAACAGAGAGATAATACAGCCGGTAAGCCACTTGCCAAGCAAGTGCCCAACCCAGGTTCCAACCCCAGCACCAAATAAGAAGCCCTGAACTTTGCCAGGAATGACTTCTAAGCACAGAACCAGAAGTAAGACCAAATGTAGCCTCAAAAAGAAAGAATAAAACTATTTATTGATGAACTTGTGGTATGAATGCTTTGCTGTATACATAATAAAATTAAAAGTTAAAAAAAAATACTTGGTGGCTGGACAAAATACAGTGTGGTAGGGCTCTTGCCTTGCACTCAGCCAACTGAAATTAGATCTCCTGCACCCCACAGTATCTACTTTATAAGGTTGTTGCAAAGATTAGGAAAGATAATACATATGCACTGCTTGATGCCTAAATGTTGTTCGTCAATAGCCTCGAGCAGGCATCAGTAACGTCTCCTTCGTCCTAGCCCTGAGATTCTAAAAAGTGCCACATTCAAGGCTCTTTCAGGGTTAGGAGAATGAGACCCATCATTGTTACTGGTATTTGGCATATTGGGTACGCCACGGGGAGTTTGCCAGACTCTGTCGTGTGGGCAGGTTACATTTGGTAGCCTGCCAGGTTGTCCAAAGCAAGAATGACAAAAGATGTCACACAGTCATGAATGCGGCCACACGCTTCCGGGAGCTGGGTTTTATAGTCTCTGGGTCTTGGCTGTTGATGGGATTACACGGCGCCAGGGGGCATTTGGTGGTGTGACTCCTGCCTACTGGAAGATGGAGGATCTGGGTGGAGGATGCTCAGCCCCAATCCGAGCAGGCTTGGAGATCTCAGCCTCGGGACCCGCATGCCTTTGTTTGTCTGCCGGTACCTTCATGCGTGTGGAGAGTGGTCTCCGTATGGTTGATGGCTGGTTCTGGAGGTCTTCGGTTGCCGGGGCTCTGCTCGGGGCGGGGAGGGAAACTCAATCCACTCCCCTCCAAGGGGCCCCGGCGAGGACAGCCAGGCGCGGGGGCAGGAGATTCTGCACTGTTCTCTTCTGGGAGATGCCTAAATGGACAATAAATAATTGATATTTATTTATACTACCTTTCTTGACCAATCTTACTAAGAATTTGCCCTAACCATTGCTGAGAGGGGAAGGGGATTTGGAGAGTTAAATGCTTTCTCGTGCATCAGCAATCACCATAATTTCTTGAAATATAATTTTTCTTGAGGAAAATTCAATAACTTGAATACAACCGAGTTTCACATCATTTGGGGGTTGGGTTGGTATTTACTTATATTCTCACGGATTAGGTTACTTATATTTCAGCCAGTATCCATTCTGATTGGTAATATCAACTATTCTAATTGGCCATAACATTGCTATGGTTGGAGGTGATATTCACCATGACTGCTTGCTTCTTAAACTGTCCTGTTGATAAATATTTTTAGTGATTGAATTTTACACCTAAATAGAGGAGAGGGTGAAAAAGAATGCCCTTGTTAATAACTGCCCATGCTTAACATGTAACTTTTATCTAAAGAGTCCTCCTACCAATGTTGTAATCAAGTTTTATTTTTATTTTATTAGTTTACTTCATTAGTTTTTTATTTTATTTTATTATTTTTTGAAAAAGGACCCTGTTGGGCTTAGGAAAGAGTAACCTGTTCTAAGGACTGTGGTCTGGAATATATAGCGAGATGTCCCCAGGAAAGCCAAGCTTTAATCTTAATATATTTCTTACTGTGTTAAGCACAGCAGGTAGGGCATTTACCTTGCACGCGGCCGACCTGGGTTCAATTCTTCTGTTTCTCTCGGAGAGCCCTGCAAGCTACTGAGAGTATCTCGCCCGCAAGGCAGAGCCTGGCAAGCTCCCTGTGAAGTATTCAATATGCCAAAAACAGTAACAAGAAGTCTCACAATGAAGACATTACTGGTGCCCACTCGAGCAAATTGATGAACAACGGGAGGACAGTGCTTTTTTTTTCTTGCTTTTTGGGCCACACCCAGCGATGCACAGGGGTTACTTGTGGCTCTTCATTCGGGAATTGCTCCTGGCAGTGCTCAGGGGACCACATGGGATGCTGAGAATCGAACCCGGGTTGGTCACATGCAAGGCAAATGCCCTACCTGCTGTGCTATCGCTCCAGCCTCTACAGTGCTATTTTTTGGGGTGTTGGGCCAGCTGCAGCGGTACTCAGTGATTATTCCTGGCTCTGCGTTCAGGGATCACTCATGGTGATGCTCAGGGGACCATATTTGGTGCTAGGGATTGAATCTGGGTTGGTTGTGTGCAAGGCAAGCGCCTTACCTACTGCATTATTGTTCCAGTCCCAAATTTTATGTACATTTTATTGTAGGAGAAACATGTCAAAAGGTTTAAATTACATGTGAAATATTCAAGGTGATTAAAGTAACTGGGTTCTATAATGATAAATATATTGCAATAGTCCTTTAAAATTTTATCATTACCTTACACTTATATTAGCTTCAGAAGTGTGATTTCACACCACAATATATGTATATACAATGCTACATCCACAACAAAAGTCTAATACCTTTCATTACTGCTTTTACTACTATTAAATCGAACCCTTCTGCCAGTTCCTCCTGGCCTTTCATTCCTTTATTCTCAGGGAACCACAATTTTTTAATGAGAATCTGAGTTGGTTTTGTTTTGTTTTGTTAATTTACTTTGTTTCTTCATATTCCACATATAAGTGAAATGATTTAGCATTGATCTTTCTCTTTCAGGCTTATTTCAACTAGCATAATTACTTTAAGTCTCATTGACATTGTCAGAAAAGGCAATATTTTATTTTTTAATAGCTGAGTAATATTTCATCGAACATATCAGATCTTCTTTATCCTCTCCTCCGTATTGGTTGTTTGGTGACTTTCATGTTTTCACTGTTGTGAATACTGCTGCAAAGAACCTATACATATGCACGTGTCTTCTAAATTTAGTGTTTTCATCTTTTTTTTCTCCTTGGGTCACATCTAGCCATGCACAGTGGTTACCCCTTGCTCATGAACTCAGGAATTACTCTTGGTGGTGCTCAGGGAACCATATGGGATGCTGGGAATCGAAACCCGGTCAGCCGCATGCAAGGCAAACGCCTTACCCGCTGTGTTATCGCTCTAGCCCTGTTTTCATCTTTTTGATAAATACCTGGAAATCACATTTCTGGATTACATGGTAGCTCTGTGTTTATTTTTTTGAAGAATGTCCATACTATTTTCACAGAGGTAATATAAATTTACATTTCCAACAACAGTATACCAAAGTGTCTTTCTCTCCACACTCACACCAATATTTCTTTCAAATTTTTGTGAGAAATAAATATAAACATGTTTAAATGAAAATTTATTTGTATATATAGCATTCTTATAGAAGTGAGAAGATAGCTCATTAAGGTATTGATTCATATTTACCTGTATTAAGAGATATTGAATAATTTTTACTTTTTAAAAAATTTATTTTAATGTAAAAGAAAACCACAGCTGCTGATACAATAGAATTGTATTCTATTCTAGAAGAATTAAAATTGGTTAGATATAAATATAATGAAGCTCAAATATTAAACTCAGTAAGCATAAAAATCAATTTATGTGAAAATTGTTATATCTGATCATGGGGTTATTAAGTCCTTGTCTAAGAATTTATTAAGC